TCCAAGTTTGGATTATTTAACATTATGTATTTAGGTAATATCTTCTAACAAGCATACTAAAGTAGTTGAAGTTATTAATGAGACATAAGGCCCATTTCTCTTCTCCTGTCGTCTTTTATTTCCCCAACGGTAAAACAGCCGCCGCTGCTTGGATCACTGACGCTATGGTTCATCTTACCTGCCACTCTTTCGTCTGACTCTCGGTTGCCGTCATCTGAGTAACGTGCAAAGTCCAGAGAGTCCAAGGTGCTAATACTGCCTGCTCGATCTGCATAGAAACGGGAACACAGAGGCAGCAGTGAGACAGGAGTAACATCAATTGCAACAATTATGCAAAGAATTTCCCAACTAAGACAGCTTAAGAAATGTGGCAGTGAAATAGAAAAGGGCTTTAGAGACACTCCCTTTAAATGTAGGAGTATTCTCCTTCACACATTGACAGAGTTGATTCGTATAAACTTTTAAAGCAGAGATCATTATAAACTGAAAAGTCCTCACAGTGCATACATATACTATCAAAAAATAGGTTTTGCTTAACATAATGGACACAGATATTAAGACGCAACTTTAAAACTGAGCATAGGGGAAGAAAAACAAATTTAAAACTTTTGAGGACAGATAAAGCTGATAAATAAGCACATTCAAGATCATATTACACTGAGCTTGGCTGCCCGGTTTGCTTTGTCAATGGTGTTAGCTTTCTTTCCACTGGAACGCATTTGTTCTATCATCCACAGACACAATAGGCTCAGGGTAAATGTAGTTGTGTTGGCCTAAAATAGTCAAGCTTGTTAACTTTATGTTTTAAAACACAGTTTCAAAAAGAATACATCTCATAGTTCCATTGCGAATTCAGCTTGGAACTGTTCATCACACCACAACAACAGAGAAATTGAATGTGTGCACATTTAAACACTCACAAAAACTATATATATAAAAATAAAATCACAAGTTCATAATAGGAATCAGGCATTTAGTGGTTCTTTTATAAGCCTGAATCAAAATGAACACGCCTCATCAGCCAATAAACGAGCATCGAGTAGAAACAAAGAAGTATTTGAAAAAAAAATGAGGTCAGATACAAGACCAGGATGTTGCCAACAAGCTCATTTAATTTAATGAAGAGTCTTTTTGGCAAGAATAACACTGGTTTACAAAGTAAATGAGCTTGGGACAAAAGGGGCAGCGGTACGATTACTGAGACATAAATCAGAGTAGATTTTGAAAGAGTCTGAAGGAGTCTGGGACTGGTCCAACAATAAACAGTGCTGTGAAAAAAACACTGCCTCTAAGAGATGTCATTAATTGTTGCCACACATGACACCTGAGTAAATATAAAACACAGTTTTTAAATAAGAAATATCAAATAATGAACTTCCGATGTGGACATTATAAATTGAAAAAAAGAAAAAAAGGTTAGCAAAGATTCCTCCCCACTTACCAAAGATTCATGTTTGTTTGGAGTTTGTTGCCTTTGAAAAATGAACTCATAATTTGAATATTCAAATTTACTCAGGTCATCTTTGATGGATTTTAAAAATTTGTCTATGTTTAGGGTTCATATGAAAGAAATATGAAAGACAAAAGGGGCATTGATTCTCTTGCATTGTTTGCACAACCAGTTTATCAACAAAGAAGCATATTACAGTGTATTCATCATCTCTTAATTGCGGTATCTGTAGGGGCATGCAAGGAATTTTTTTTTTTGTTAAATCATCGTCAATTATATTAAGTAATTACCCAAATAAAGAACATTTTTTAGCTTAAACGCATTCCACATTACCATTACAACCAAGAAAGTATTTGTATTCCAAATTTCTATTTTGCAATGTCTGTGCTTTTTGTGGTTGTCACATAAGACATGCCTTAAGGCACAAGCTCAAAGCTTGTCAGAATGCGGCATGTTTAGTTTGGCTCAGACAAGGGTGATGAGAAGAATGCGCTTCAGATCGTTTGAAGGAGTCTAACAGAAAACCCAAATTTAAAAAAAATCTGAAATAATTACTAAGTTTTTGTTGTTTGGATCAAGAAATAAAATAATAGTTATGGCAAACCAACTGTATTTCACCACTGAGAACAACATGGAACTCATTTTGTGTGCAGCTTATATCCGAGCTTTGTAGGCAAGAATCCCCAATTATAATTAACTTTTTTTTTCTTGCTCAAAAAGAGTGCACATGGCCATTACGCTGCAAAATGTGTCTTATGATCAAACAACTATTTGATTACCTAGGCCTGGTGTGAAGAGTACATCACTGAAACATTGTTGCTGATGATTAATAAAGGGTGGGAAATGTCTTGCTGTGTCATCTGGCCGGGAGCAGCAGCTGCAGCAGCGGCCCAGTCACTCCCCGGCTGAATGCTCGCTGCAGTCAGCTGCACATGATGAGCTGACATAGGCTCTGTGTTCTGAATGGCCTTGAGTATTGTTTTCATTTCTTTCTATTCTGGTCCAGAGTTGACATGACAATTTTGTTTCTTCTATGTCACATTTTATCAGCAGCTATGAAGACTAAGATGAATATTCCCATCAGTACCACCTGTCAGTATGTGGTACTGACGCATGATGACCTTTTAAGGTCATCATGCTCCACACCTTTTGAGTTTCATCCAGTTACCAGAGCACACTCTCTGTTCAACTTGGAGAACAGTCAGTTTGTGTTTTCTGCTTTGATCTTCAAGTAATATACAGTCGTAAACTGCTGACCTGACATCCGAAGGACACCAAGAATCTGACACCCAAATGATGCCGACAAAGCAACGTCCCGAGATAACAGGAGAACACTCTGAAGTACTGACTGTGCTACATGACAACCAAACTGGGATTCTGGTTTTCCTTTGCTTTCATACTGATACCACCTACAACCGTCACAATTGGAGTATTGTGAAAGCCTTTACTGCTTCTACATTTCAAGCTGAATCGCGTCCACGGTTGTGATTTACCACTTTATCATCAAGATCCAAAAACCATTTGTTTTGCCAGAAACAACAAAGAAGTATTGCAAGTAATTCAAATAATTCAGGAACTCAAAGTTGGATCTGTTCTGAGATAATAATAATAATAATAATAATAATAATAATAATAATAATAATAATAATAATAATAACCTAAGACAATATATTATTAATCAGAAGAACATTTTCTAAACACCGTCTTCGCCACTGAACTTTTTTCCCCCCATTGACTTTTCTTCAGCCAGTATGATGCCCTTTGACTTGGGGAAGCTTCATAGAACTTTGTGCAGTATACACAATTACATTTTTATTACTATACACTATGCAGGACACACTGGGATAATACTCTAAACAAAAAGCTTTTAAGAATCATAGTAAATTTAAATCAATTTTTGCCAGTATTTTTTGTCAGATCAATAATAACACATGAGACATACTAACATAGTCAGATATTTCTGTCCTAAAGTTTTTTTTCAGTATGATAATCAAATTAAATCATTGTATTTCTGGTCAATGTTATCTTTTTATGAGAATCTCATTTAAGTCAATCCCTTTTCACAACAAGGTTTATTTGTGATGCAGACAGTAACTATGGTAATTATTTGCATGTTGTGTTTGCCTATGAGGCTCTTCAGCTTCAGGCACTGGTTATTCTATTAGAAGCCCTGTAAGTAGATGAGAATGCTTAAGACATACTGCATGCAACAGTTAATGTAATTTTGTTGTATGAGTCTGGCACAGAATAAGATGAACACATGCAAGGTAGTCCTTGCATGTTGACACACTTGATAGAAACTATTTTTTTTTTGGCGTATATGCAACTAATAATTGAAAGGCGGGTATTGCAAGAATACCTGTCTTTCCTAATGACTATTCTGCAGTTGTAGTTTATTTGACTTCTGACCTGCAGGTGGCCTGAAGAAAGGGCTGTTTTATAACACCAGGTCCATCACAACCGGTTTGCCACAATATTACCCAGCCCCTTCAATCGATCGTCATCTGGATGAAGGGTTTTCATGACCTAAGGCACTGACCTAGCTGTCAAGATAACTGACCCACAAAACCCGTCTGATGACTGCGGCCCTCAAGGGGTTGGGCAGGAGCAGAAAGCTGCGATCTCGAGATCAACAGACTACTACAGCCAGGTTCTGAGCTAACGTTAGCGAGCTAGTGAGTTATCTTTGTATGATATCGCAGTAAAGACAGGGTAGGCAAACTGCTATCAGTAGCATCAAGATGAGCTAACGCTACTTACTCAGTGGTCCTCCAGGTCCGAGCACCTGGTCTTTGGCAGGTGGAGTGCCGCTTTGTCGCTCGAAGTTGCCAGGGTTGGAGAAATAATCCCTTAGCCGCGGAAGCTCCCTACCTGCTTCCAGCAGTTCAGTGTGAAACTCCAGGGCCGTAAGAATGTACTGGTCCCTCAATAGCTGAGCAGCGATAACATCCACAGACACCCGCGTCTCCACACCGCCTGCCATAGTGGATGTAGCCGCGGCCGAAACCGACATGCCCTCACCGCTGGGGCTTGTCCGGTTGCTAGACAGCAGCAGTGTCGGAGGCTCGGCATCTGCAGGCGGAGAGAAGGGATTGCCTGGCGGTGGACCTGGCGCCCCCTCGCTGGGGCTTCTTTCTGTGTCAACCGTCTCATTGGGACGTCGTTCTGCTTCTTCCTCAGAGTCACTTACATCAAATGGGTTGACCGACGCCATTTTTTCCAATATATATTTTTATATATAAATAAATATATATATATACTAAATCCAGGCAGGCTAGGCTAATCAAAGAACCGTCTTCCTGAATGGATACTGATGTGTATGGCTAAGGGGGGGGGAGACAATGCGACATTACGATTGGCTAAATCTTGGAGACGTCTTCTTAAAGCCCGCCTTTTTAATGGAATGTTGAACAGTGATTGGATATTTCCGAGGTAGCTGGGCAGGGCATGACTGTTAGTTGACAGCTCATGCTAGCTAATGTCATGTCAAAAAATGGAAAATATAACTTATGTAAATAAAGATGTTTATTTTTCTGCTCGTCAAGTGCTTAAGCAAGTACAAGAATTTCGAGCTAATGATTGCTGTATCGTCTTGAATTAGAAAACCTGCTGAAATTTAATTATATATCTTTGAACTACATTACCCACAATGCAAGTTCGGGCGCATGCGTTAAAAGTCAACGCCAAAGTCACAACAAGGAAGTAAATTCTCGTGCTGCCTGTATTTCTTGTAGTAATCTTGTTACAAAGAGGGATCTTTGGTTTTGTTAAAGCATCCACTTAAAGATTACGTGATCTTGTTTCGAAACAGCAGCTTTAATCAGCCTGCTTCTTTGGATATGTTTCGGTGGCTCATTTACGAAGATAAAATTTAAGGAAACATTTGTTTTGAATGGGTAATTTTTTTCTTCCCCCGATCCGAAGCGCTCCTTAAAGCATTTTATGTCAAGATCAAGTTGACGTTATATTCAGGTAAGACTTACAACTCCACTGTCTCAGATCTTGCAGATTTTCTAGTACACATGGAATATGAAGGAAAAACTGTAAGCATTAAAATGCCACACAATTTTTGGGTTTTTAATGTGTTTGACGTTTGGCAGATTGGCTAGTGGCATATGGTGAACGGATTAGTCCTTTTACTAAGCCTTTCTGAAGCAAATACATCGACTTAGCCAGTCTAATTGTAAAGCTGATATATTCTATTTGAATTCTCTTTTGCAAACTTTATTTTTAGCTCACTATATATACTTTCAATACAATCTTTACCTCTAGCTTTCCGTTTTTATGCCTTTTCCCTTTCCTTCACATCAGGAAATCTCAGCATTGCTCTGTAAAGGCTGGGCAGTCTTCAATCAAAATGAAGATGATCACCTTTTTCCTGATAGGACTAACAGTCCATGTAGTTTTCTTCCTATCCATCTTTGACATCTACTTCACATCTCCTTTGGTCCACGGCATGACACCCCAGTCCACGCCGCTGGCACCCCCTGCCTCCAGACTGGTGTTAGTTGTGGCTGATGGCCTCAGAGCTGATAGTCTCTTCACGCTGCTTCCTAACAACTCAAGTAGGACTCCATTCCTAAGGTTGGGAAACTGATTAGGCAATGAAGTTGAACACACTTTGTTTTTAATATTTTTCAAAAAGACCTAAACTTATTTTTACCACCAGGGCCATAATAGAGGAGACTGGTACCTGGGGTGTCTCTCATACACGTGTACCTACTGAGTCTCGGCCTGGTCATGTTGCTTTGATAGCAGGCTTCTATGAAGATGTCAGTGCAGTTGCTAAAGGTAGGTGTTTCTTGGGATTTTCCAAGAATACATCTTTCTAGGATTTTTACATTGTCTCTTTTTGAGTGTCATTAACATTTTCTATGCATATTTTCAGGTTGGAAGGAGAATCCTGTAGAGTTTGATTCAGTGTTCAATGAGAGCAGAAGCACCTGGTGCTGGGGGAGCCCAGATATCCTCCCAATGTTTGCCAAAGGTAGTCATCAAGTTCCCACTCAGGCTGAAAAACCATGAAATATGATTTTATTAGTTATCAAGTCAGAATAAGTAAGAAGAAAAGAGAAAGTTTCACTTCATTTTCTGTATTGTTAAACAATAGCATTGCTCATTTGCCACTCTGGGTTCTTTTAGGTGCAACTGGTGACCATGTTTATACTCACACATACCCAGCAGAGGAAGAGGACTTTGCTTCCACAGATGCATCCAGGCTGGACACCTGGGTTTTCACTCAAGTCAAGGTACAGCTGTTGAAATGTTGATTAGATAACTGCTGCAATTTATATATTTATGCCAACAAATTAAGTCTGCAAATTTAGATTTTTTTTAAGTATGTGCAGAGACAAGACATCTCATGGGGCTCAAATGTTCATGGTAGTTTCTTTGAATAATAATAATAACCGCTTCTATGCTGTTTAGAGAAGACAGAGTCAGTATATGACAATGCTGTTCTTGATATGAATTAGAAGTGTAGCATTCGTCGAATAACTGTGTTTATGTTTAAACTTTGTGACAGTCCTTCTTTCAAGCCGCAAAGACTAACTCCACTCTAAAAGCCACTCTGCTTGAGGATAAAAACATCTTCTTTCTGCATTTGCTTGGCATTGACACTAATGGGCATGCTCACAGACCAATGTCACAGTAAGTACGTTATATTGAGTTGGGATGTTTCTCTTTTGGCTTTTGGGATTAAATTTATTGAACTTTAATCACATATTCTTACAAATTAACATTTCCTCATGGGGCATTATTTTTGTCTTGCTCTTTGTGTTTTCTACAGGGAATACCTGGATAATATTGCCCTGGTAGACACTGGTGTAGCTCAGGTTGTGTCTTTGATAGAGGACTTTTTTGGCCATGATGGGAGAACTGCCTATGTGTTTACCTCTGATCATGGCATGACAAACTGGGGTAAGGGTTTTGTACAGGTTTAGTTTTGATGTCTGCTACAAGAAGAAAAGGTATTCCTCTACTACAGTTTTCCTCTTCTAGGTTCCCACGGTGCAGGCCATCCTTCTGAAACGCTCACACCATTAGTGGTGTGGGGAGCTGGAGTTAACAAGGCCCAGAGAGTCACAGAATCCCAGCCATATCAGGATGGATACTTAAAAGGTATATCAAGGTTATTATCAGTTTTTGAAAATGTATGCTTGATTTCATAGAAGCCATTGTTTTTCTTGTTGGTCTCCTTTCCAGATTGGGGCTTGGAGCATATTCGTAGAGCAGATGTAAATCAGGTGAGAAGAATGCAAAAAAATATTACAGTTGTGTGCATACCCCTTGAACTCTTTACATTACAACCACAGACTTTAATATGTGCTGTTGGGGTGTTATGTTATTGATCAGTACAAGTTAGCACATGGTTGCAAAGTGAAATTAAAAGAACACCAATAGCAGATGTAATACCAATAAAAGAGAGCGCTACAAAATTTTGATTCGGGAGGCTAAATACAAATTCACACTACCATTTTCAGATTATTCTTTAAAGCAAAGCTTTGTGCTGATTTGTCTGACAAAATTATGTTTTGTAGAAATAATTATTGTAATTTGATAAGGTCAAGTTGTGTAAATGGTTTTGCAAGTTTGTTTTGTTTATATATATATTTTTTATTACAGGCTGATATTGCTCCACTCATGGCTTCGCTCCTTGGTTTGCCCATTCCAGTTAACTCTGTTGTAAGTCAGTGTATAATCATAACAATGATAAAATAGATACATTTACATGTATGTTTAGTAATGGACTAAACATACATCTTTAGTCCGTTACTTAGCTTTCCTGAAAGAGAATCGTCTTCTCATACTTAAACAATTATTAATATAATGTAATGTTTAACTACTCTAGTTCTGATTTTGAGACAGGAAAGCGACACGGTTTTTGTATGTGTATGTTTCCAGGGTGTGATGCCTCTCCTCTACCTTAACAACAGTGACCAGTTCAAAGCTGAAAGCATGTACACTAATGCCATCCAAGTATTGGAGCAGTTCAAGGTATCACAACATTTATTTCTGCTGTAAACTAACTGCCATGTCGCAAAATGTGTGACTTTTGTAATACTGTCATCGATACACAGCAATTACACAACAACCGTTTTTTTTTTTTCTTTTTTCTTCAATAGATGAAAATGATCCAGAAAAAAGAGACAACCCTACCTTTTTTATTCACACCATTCCAGTGAGTACAATACACAAAGCATTACAAGTTTGCTTGTTTTTATCATAAGTTAACCATGTTAATAATTTGATTATGTTCTTTTTTGCCCCAGACTCCTGACTGAATCAAAGCAAGCAGAATTCACTCACAGGGCCCGGATACTGATACAGTTAGAAAAGTATAATGATGCTGTAAGTAGCAGAGAATTGATTAAACTATATTTAAATTTAATCAGGAAATATTAGGTGGACATCAAAATGGTTCTGGGTTTTGATGTTTTATTCCTTTGAAAACTACAAACTGTTGTGAAATCCATAATTGTGTTTTCTTTTTTTTTCAAAAATTTTGTGGTAATATTACCATTTATTTCCTTCTTTACATGATTACACCATTTGATTCCCATATAATTTCCATCTCTTGTCAGATCTCTCTGTGCCAGTCTCTGATATCCCTGTCTTTAGAGGGCCTGGTCTACTACCACACCTACGACAGGTTCTTCCTGGGTTGCAGTGTGGTGCTGGGATTCATAGGCTGGACGTCATATGTCATCTTGGTTATACTGAGGACTCACGCAAGCCTCATTCGTTATCCCAACCTCGCTAAACAGGTGGGGAGAGCAGAGTCCTTTCACAAAAAGAGGTTTACAACTCTTGCCCATCTTGTTAAACTGGTATTGCACTTGTGCGTGTGTGTGTGTGTGTTTGTGTGCAGAATCCAAATCAGAATTTGGCCAGGTTTTGTGTTGCTGTGGCTGTGGTGATCACTCTGTTCCTGCTTATCCAAAGAAGTCCTATTACTTACTATATATACTGCTTGCTGCCAGTTCCTGTGTGGTACTCTGCTTTAAAAGAGTAAGTAAGACGTTTAAAAAGAAATGTAAACTGATTAGTGTTTGTACCTTCCATGATCTAAGTATAAATTATGCAAAGTTCCTGTATGGCCCACAATCTAATTTGAGTAATTGCACAAGAAACCAAAATACACTGACATATTTATTTTGTTGTCATTTAGTTCCTTTGAGGTTGCTTTTTTTTTTTCTTTTTCTTTTTCTAGCTTTTTCAAATGGCTAAGAATGTTCTAATTTTCTGCCTCCTATTGACAACTGACATATTTCCTTCCTGTTTAGATCTGGAGCTCTGACAGATCTGATCCGATCAGCTCCCTCTCTGCCACTCTGGAAATGTTTGGGCTATTTTGTGCTGGTTGCATTTGGGATCGAGTTGCTTGTAAGTCTCTTCAGTCCAACCCAGATCTGTTCAATCCAACTCATAACTCTTGCGTGGGGGGTTTTGTGTGCAGTCTGACAACTGTCTGTATCTTGGATCACTGATTGTCATTCACTGCCCCCAGGTGGTGAGTTTCTTTCATCGCTCCATGCTGACTGTAGGCCTGGCTTTCCTTTCGCTGTGGCCACTCCTTTCGGGACTTTTTGGCAAAGCCAAGGTAACTAGAGGACCATATTTGTGAGCTTGTATCGAACCAATAAAAGTTAGTGATTAGATAATGGAAAACCAATCCTACGGTTTTATTTTTTCACACACAAAAAATCCAACAAAAAACCCCCAACCATTTTAGAGTGGAGAATATCCAGGATATATGAAGTGTATATCCTGGAAAGACATCCATTGATGTGGATAGATAAAATGAGCGTTTCTACACTACGATATGTTTTGAAGTAGACGTAAACAGTCAGAGTAGATAGAACAGCCCTTTGTTTCTCAGAGTTTACACATTTACATACCAGGAAAAACTAAATATAATCTGGTCTTCCCCAGGTTCTAAAATTATTCATATCTAACTCCAAGTTTGCAATTTATTTATTAAACTGAAATGGAAATCTTATGTGTGGCAAATTAATCAAACCTCTGCTTTAATTCAAACTATTTTAAAGAACAATGGCTGTTATTCAAACACATAATTTTATAATGATCAAGAATAATCATCTAAATAAAAGCAATTTGCTGGCATGGAGCACAAATATGTGCATTAACAAAATGCTAAGGCTAGGACTTATCAGCAATGACCAGAGAGAAGCATTTGTTGTTGCCCAACAAATCTGGTAATGATTGTAAGTTTATTTCCAAACAATTTTATGTCCAACATTCAGCAGTAACAAAAAAGAAATGTAACCGGTAAACATTTGAGGTATTTCCCAATATTTCCGAAAGTGGACATTTTAGCTGATTCAGATTGTGATGTTTTGACAAGATGCCACATCTTTACAGGCTTCAGTTAATGTACCATACAACATAGCCAACAATACAATTAGAAGAAAAGAAAAACAAAAACATAAAATAAGTATGGCAGCAAAAACTACTACATTTCTGGAATAATGTTCTTTAGAAAGATAAGATTAGAGTAGAGACATGTTCTTAATTCACTCCTCTGTGTTTGGTATATTTAAAACCCAAGATAGTATCACAAACAGCTTGCAGCAACACATTGCAAACATCAAGTCAACAAGGACACTCTCTTTATCTCAAAATTTTCTGTAGTGATATTTGAGTTCATGTGTCAGACAGACGACGCTTAGAGAAAACTTTCTTCAGATAAGTAACCTGAAACGTCTCAGCAACTCTGTTCCCAAATGCATGAAAAAGATTTTCCTTAAAAGAACATGTAAACTTTTTAAAACCATTTCATATTTTTAGTCACTCTGACCGTGAAAACTATTAATACCTCATTTTTGATGAAATACAGAAGTCTGATGTTTCAGTTTCCGAAAGTCCAAATTGTGCGTACTGATTTTTGTGGCTTTTTTGTGCAAGTTTGTTAAACAGAATTTCCATGTCTGCCTAATTTCCCTCTCACCACTGTTTGTGGTGGTGATTGGCTGTTTTCGTGTGTAGCTTCGCTCAGTGAGCTGGTTTCTTGGCTGCCTGTGCTTGGCTGGTTTCCCCTTGATGTCCGTTGTGGGCAGAGAGCCTAACCTAAATCTGGTGTGAGTACTTCCTTTATTTGCTTACATTTATCAGAACTTTTAACACTTCTGTGTAGACGTTTCATCTACACAGAAATGAAATGTCATCAAACGCAGACATTTTTTGTTGCTCTAGTTCTTTCAATTTCTGAAATGAAACATTTAGAGCACTTCTGACATAAAAAAAGACGAAGATAAATAGAGCGTTAAAGACATTAGATAAGGTGGCCACAGATCATTACTGTATTTTCTTAATGAAGGTGTGTAAGCATAACTTCTTTAAAACTAATTGAAAAGCAAGTGAAAATGCATCAACTTCCCTATTCCAGGTGTGGAAAATACATCATTTTAAGTAGAAATTGAGGGTGGAGAGTGGGGGGAAACGGTTGCAAGGATGTATTTCTTCTTTGAGGCAGAGGTTTGAAGTCCTATAAATATGCCTTCTCATTTGTAATTATTATTATTTTTTTTTATCTTATAAGCTTTTGTTAGCATTACATTCAAATATTCCAATATATTTTCTGAAATACAGAAAAAACTCAACATGTGTTCGAATTCAGGTGAATTGCCCGTGTTAAGGATTTTAAGAGATAATTATTATTAATGCAGATATTTTTAAGACAGTCTGCACCTAATTTAGCAGCATCTCTTGACTCTCTTTTATAACACATTTGATTTTTAAAAGCAAACAGATAGTTTGAAATGTAACCAGTAGAAAGTTTTTAGGCATAGATTCTAAGTCCTGATTCCCTGATTCACAGTAAAAACTTTCTACTCCTTATAGCTTTCTACAGCCTTATATACTGAAAATAAGGCTGTGTACCCTGAATGGTAAATGCAGTAAAGCTTAGTTTCTGTTCCCTCAGTACCTGTGCAGGCCTGCTTACTCTCTTCACTTCGGCCTGTTACCTCTGGTCATCATGGCGGAGGACACCTCTTCACACAAGCGACAGACGGCAATTTTTCAGTCAGGTAATTGTTTGCTTGTCCAGGTTCGGGTGTTATTTTTTTTCTTCTCAACAACTGCTAAGAGATGTATTACTTGTCAACCCTAACAGATGATCCATGTGGCCGTGTGTTTGTATGTACCATCGCTCACACATTCCAGCCTGCAACAGAAACAAGGCCTGCCCCTTCTTAACCAGATCATCAGCTGGAGCACATTAGGTTGGTGGATGAAAGAGATTTCTCAATGTCACAGAAAAATCCACTGAAAGTTATTATTTAAAATGTATGTTCTGATTTGAAGCAGTGCTCTGACACGTGAGTGAAGCTATGGATTCTGTCTTTTTTTCAGCATCTTCTATATTTGTTCCTCTCTTGAGCTCAACACGTCTTTTTCATCGACTCCTCAGCATATTTTTGTCTCTCACATCCACTTACTTGCTTCTCAGTACTGGGTATGGCAAGATCATTTTAAATTGAGTTGTTATTTTGTAGGTTTACAGCTTCAGAAAATCTGCTGAATACAAATATTCTTTTTGTTCTATCCGACTTAGGTCAGAGGCCTTGTTCCCTCCTGTTTTGGCTTGGTTGATGTTTGTATGGATCAACATTGAACAGGAGGCCTTACTCGCTCAGGGTGACTCCAGAAGACAAGAGGTAGCATTAGAATACAAGTTATAATGAGAAGAATTTGGGGATGTGGGAAGAGGTCTTCTTTTTATTATTATTTGTGTCCATATTAACTACTATGTATCTTTTGCTTTTGCCAGTAGTCTTAAAATATAAAAGAATATAACATTTAATTGTTTTTTACTCACTCTTACACAATGAATCAGACCAAAGCTTTCCTACTTTAGTCAATAAGAGCTCACAAAATCATGTCTGTCATAATATTTTTACTATTATACCTTTAAATAGTTGATGAAAGAACACATAGTAAGGTTGTGGCTTTGTTTGTGGCAACACCTCAAACTTTCTACAGATGTTTTGTTTTGCATGCTATAAGTATAATTTGGTGTGAAATGTTGGTATTAATTAAAGTTGGATGGCCCCTGCAGAGCTGTGATCTCAGTCATCAAAAATTTGCCTGTTGAGCTGAAAAGGTCTGCAAGGAAGCACAAAAAATTGACCCATTTACATTGTCTGGGGAAATGGGCCAAAACAGTATGGGTCACTTACAAAAGCCAGTTTGTTTCTCAAAATCTGTAGTTTATTTTTTAGAATCAAATATCTGTTTCAGTGAACATATCAGTGCCTCAGAATGACAAGTCCTGCTCATTGTGTTTGGATAAAACAGTCAAATTGATTAGTCATGTCAATATAGAAATGTACTCTGGAGGAATGTTTTGTAAACAATTGCTAAAGTTTTGATGACAAATATTGTAATTGTGGGGGAACAATAGCATTCTTGTTCCTTTTCTTCTCTCTGACTTTTGACCCCATCCAAATCTTCCATTGCCATAAATGTAATTTTATGTTGTGCTCTGGCTATTTCACTATGTAATTACCAGCTGATGGTTTATGAGATGCACCTCTGAGCTATTTCTGAAATCTGGTTGTTCATTGACTGTGCTTATGGTTCACACTTGTACCTGCGTTGGAAAAAGTCAGGATTCACTTGGGAGAAATTTACTAATTCAGGATTTATTTAGAAAAAAATGTCTAATGGAAATGTGAAGTAATATGGTTGACCTATTATGACAACTTGTTCAAACATTTAGCACAGACATACAGTGAAATTATTCTTAGTTGTTGTGGAGGTTTAGACTACTCCTATAACACATTTTGATCCAGACATCATCAGGAGTTGAAAATGCAGGAAAAAGCTGAGAATTGTACATAAACACTTGCAGAATGTACAACAGCATTTGCAACTTACTCAAAGGAACAAGAAAACTGCTTTTTTGATGTGCACAAGTGACAATTTGATTTGAAGATTGAACTAGTAGTTTTGAGATTTTAAATTCTGATTTGAGAAATGCACTAAAGCGACTGAGAAAAACTGCAATTAACCTTTGGCTTCAGCTGGTGTGTTGAACATAAATAATTGCTGTGATCAGTTTTCCACTGGTTACCAACAGAGGATGAGTCAAGATGAATGTGGTTGAACAATTTCTATTTAAAGCACCTGCTGAAAGACCAGCAACTTGTAAACATTAAACTTTAAAGTATCTTAGCACTGGTTTGCATGGGCCCAATAAATATGCTAGTGTACATTATCATAGTACATCTTTCAGGTTATCTGCCCAATTTTTAAAATAAATATTTTCCAGTTCAGGATGGAAAAGTTACCTCTATTTCTTCTCCGGTGGAACATTTGTTTACATGTAAAAAGGCTGGAGAGGAAGTTGAAAACAGAATGAATGCGATATATCACATGTTGTGAAAATATGGTGAATATAGTTTGATGTCAGATAAGTGACCTTTCTGGTGGGAGATATTTTATCAGGTTTTTACTCATTTGATCATGCACCAAATCCAAATTGCTCATTAAAAAAATGCCCAAAAGTGGCTTCTAATTGTGTTTCTCTGTTTTCAGCTGTCTACAATTGATTTCTCAGCCAACATTGACATTACCAAAATCCGACAGCTGAAACTGGACGACATCAGAAGATCATATTTTTTCGTATCCTTGGTATACTGTAATTGTTTGCAATTAAACCATAAGAACTGAGCTAGTAAATTGAGGTGCTTTATTCTCAGAGGCTTGTAAAAGGTAACCATTGTAAGCTTTGTAGAATTTTAGCAGTGCTTTTATGTGTCTAAATAACATGTTATATTCACACACATTACGTCAGATTTTTCCCTATTATTTTCTCCAGGTATTTTTTATAATAACAGCTTTCTTTGGCACAGGGAACATAGCATCCATTAACAGGTAGGATAGTATTTGTGTTTTTGAATGTGCTTTTCTGTATTTATTTTTTTTTTACAAATGATATGACGCTTCAATGGAACAGTTGTAGGTGTTGTAGCTTTAGTGAACCTCTTTTGTGTGTTTAGTTTCATTAATGTTTGCTATGTTAATGATGCCCTGTTGATCATTTAAATAGAGGAAGCAAAGTACTGAACTGTGAAAATGTATTTCCGTTTATGATGTATTTTAGTTTGTTTGGCGAAACTAGTCTTTAAAGGTTTTGAACCAAAAGAGTTACAGTAATGTGAAGTCTAAAAGCAACATATTAATGGTCTGCTGTTCTTCTCAAATCCGGTTCTTTTTTAATGTTTCTGATTTACTGTTGCTCTGGTTTTGTCATTAGTCACTGATATCTCCTCTTTTTGTTGTTGTCCAGTTTTGACCCAGCCTCCGTTTATTGTTTCCTCACTGTTTTCAACCCATTTATCATGGGGGGGCTCATGATGTGGAAGGTAGGTTACTCTAAGGAGTTTGTTATGTCATGTTGTATGAAGAACATGACACACAACATGTCATGTTGTCACATTTCCCCATTAAAATATAAAGAGGAACTACTTTCAACATATAGACAAACATGAAGTAGCTAACTGTTCTCTGCTAAATGTTCATTGCAACACTGGTAGGAGTTTGCTCTGCAATCGATTGGTTGCCAATTAATTTCCTTCTCCATGTAGTGGAGCAAGAAGATTCAACCTCTTTGCCTGGTGGTGTTAATTAGAAGGGCAGATGATGTAATATAGCAGCCTCGTTTCTGTCAGATTGCCCCACCCAGGCAAAATCCAATAGCTTCCCATCATCAGCATGTGAAAGTGTGCACAACTGGAAATTACTTATTTCATGTTGATTGTCTTTGATTAAATTTCTTTAAATTGTCCTTTTTCCTCTCAGGTTATTATTCCATTTATCATTGTAATGTGTACCTTTGAGACCATCCAAGTTGCAACACAGCTCTCATCAAGAAGGTAATTTGATCATTTTTATTCTGTTAAGAAATACAAAATACAAATCGTATCTATGTTGTTTCTGCAGTACATGGATGCCGTTAGACATTTTGGTTCTTGTTTTACTGCCATTTGATTTTTTTTTTTTTCATGTCCTCTTCCTTTCCAGTTTATTCCTCATTGTACTGGTTATATCTGATGTCATGGCACTGGTAAATTACTTGAGATAATATCAGAGTTATGGGCAATTTAATTCACACTCTTAAAAGCCTTATTGGCTCGATACCTTTTCTGATTAATGTCCAATTTATGTGAACAGCACATGGTAAATGTTTAACTTCCTTATCCTCAGCATTTCTTCTTCCTGGTGCAAGACTATGGAAGTTGGTTGGATATTGGCACAAGGTAAGTCCACAAGAGCACAGTTTGTGTCAATAAAACACCAGCTACTCATTAAATATTTCCACAGATTGTTTCCACCTCTTCTTCATTTTGATTTGATGCTGTTCTGTGACCTGCAATACACAGACTTACCTGAAAAAACAATTTATATTTTTTTGTGTGCTACAGCATTAGTCACTACGTGATCGTGATGTCGATGACGATCTTCCTGATGCTGCTCAGTGTGGTCACACACGTTCTCACCTCAAAAAGACTCATCCTGTGGAACAGATCGAAGATGCACTTTCCTTAGATAAAAATTGATTTATGCCATCCAGTGTTGTAGGTTGTGTATGCCAAATATTTTATATTTATTCTGTGTAGATATGGTTAATATAGTTTTTATATAAACACATAGGATGTGGCATGTACCTTTAAGAGCTCAATATTCAATTTTGCTAATACCCAGTGATTTTTTTCAGCTGTAATTGTAAATTAAATAATAAATAATTGGTCATATGTGTTTTGAATATTTAACTATAAATTAATCAGATTTGTGATTTTAAAGTTTAAGACAAGCTTGTGTTAAGGTACATGGAATTTAATAAAGGGTAATGATATTTTTACCTGTTGTTACGTATTCACTAATAAAAAAGGAACCAGGAACTGATTTGTCTGTCTACTAGCTGATTTATACAAGATGCAATTCGACAGTAATAGGAACATGTAGCTTTTACTAATATGTTAGCCAAAATAGACCTTTTTAAGTTTTATATCATGTTATGTAATTTTATATGACACATACTCGGATTGTTTCTTTAACGCATTCATGCACGTACATAAAATTCTTAAATTTCCCAGGGCAGCCTTTCAATGGCGTCTTAATGTTTGCTCTTGCTCTGCCTTGATGCCTCATCGTCATCAGCAATGAATATGAGGCAAAATCAAGTTTATTTCAAGTCACATTTTTGATATATACAGCATTTCAATGTCAAGTGAAGGTAACATAGTATCTTGATTGTGTTTTAAAATGGCACCATGTGCCTGAAAAAGCATAAAACTCCCCCTTAAGGAGAAACATTAGAAATGTATCTTAAATTTTTTAAAAAAATGCTGGTCAAACTTAATTCTGCAGAAGAAATGTTTAAACTCAAAGGCATTATTTTATTTACAGACAAAGGCAAAAACAGCTTGCTTTATAAAATGAGGAAATTAGCAGCATGAAGGAACAAGGAGCTAAACATGCAGGAAGTTTACATTCGAAACCATAATTGACCACAGGGACAGTATTTTTAGTAAAGGGTTTTAGTCACTACAGATCCTATCTGAGTTTAATCTGCTACTTTTATGTTTAAAAAGTGTTTTTAAACATAATCAGTTTGAAAATACTTTATTATGTCAATTTTAAAGCTCATATGAGTAGATAGAACCCAATATTCCTGTTCTTCACATTATAGCCTGGCAGAACCAGACTTAATAATAAAATATTTTTGGCCCAATTAACAGCAAGACATCATATTGAGGCGATTCAAGCCTTGCAGATTTATAAAGATCCTCTGTATAGTGTAGCGTGATGAGTAGGCAGTAATTACTACTTACTCATCAACACTGTCGCACTTAGTGTAGCACTTGTGTGTATGGATTAGCAGTGGGAACTATGTGAGCGATATGTGGCATTAAATTGCAATGGCGTTAAACTTAAAAATATCTAAAACTGGCATCCTCACTTAGTTGTTTATCAAGTTGCACATGCCATCAAATGCATGGATATTGGTGTAATTAGGTGATCAAAGCCACAATAAAGCTGTACTCAAGGAAGAGCAGTATTAATTCGGTATTCTTTTACGCAAGTAGTCAGAAGGAATCGTCTAAAAATATAAGAGTGAAAAAAGAGAAAAACAAAATTTTTTGATCATGACATTTAGTTCATTTGGTCAATGTTCTACTACAACAAGAAAAACTTCTCCTGTGGCTCTTTACTGTAGCTTGAATTTCCAAGCAAGCACTCAGTTAATATGTGATCAAGGAATTTCCAGGTTAGTGCAAGTTGTGTATTAATCCACTTTCGCTTAGTTCATTGCAACAAGATTGTGCCCTACAGTGGAATATTTTACCTTTGATGGTAAAGCCAAAAACAGAGAGCAATGTAAATATACAGGTAGAGAAACTCTTCCAATAACTATTCTGATGTTTTCTGTTATTTATGTTGATCCAAACTGTTCTTTTCAGCCATACTTGATTAATCCCCCTTAAACTCGTCTCTTATTTACTTAGAAGGGTCCATATTTGGTCTGAGTTTTTCTCTTGAATTTAAATACGATCTTTGTAGTTGGTTATTACAGTTGGAACTATATATTCATCTGGCCTGGGAATGCCTGGTGACCCCCCAGTTGGAATTGGGGGAATTGGCAATGAGACATGTCTATTTTCCTTCTGGACCTCTTACCAGAGTTATTGCATATACTCAACAGCATTTGAACAAAATGTTTTGCTGTAGCAGACTTAAAATTCAAGAAATTGATTTTTTTTGGGGCTGTAAATGTTTTCTTACTTTGTGGTGAAATATAAATTAAAGAATAATCTGACAACCTTAAGAAACTTTATTAGGTAGAAGCATTTCAACAGTGCTGTAACTGTGCAACAACCACACTGACCAGAGACTACTAAAGAACTTCATAGTTCCTTATTTCATCTGAAGAACTATGACCATTGTTTTTTTTTTCTAGGAAAGTGATGGTCACAGTTCTTCGTATAAAAAGAAGAGCTTCATAATTCTTTATTTCAAGAACTATGAAATAAAGGTTTCCAGTTTGACATTGATCAAATAACATCAACTAAAAGTAAACATTCATGTGCTTTGGACATTCTTTTATAGTTTCAAATAAGAAAGCAATTCATAAAAAAAGCTAGATGAATTCATGAATCAGTAAAAAAGCTGAAGCTGAACTGAAAGTTGACCTTTTAGTAGACCGATGATCATCATCCAAGTGTAACCTCTAACCAAGGGGTTGAAATTAACAAACAAGACGTGTGTTTTCCATTTTGACAGAAATGTTTTGCAAAATATAAAGGCCAGATGTGTATTTATTTATTTATTTATTTACAGAATACTTAGATGCAGGGACAAATAACTAAACCCACATGCAGCTTTGCAGACTGACGTTGAAGCAACAAAGTGAACTGTGGCTTACATTGTTGCACGGGTGCTGCAACTTTGTCACACAGTTCAGAAAGTCCCTCACAGAAACCGACAGGCTAACTTATGAATGGATGATATCCACATTTTAAGAACATAGTCAAATAGTACCAGCATAATCTACATTATGCAGCATCACAAATTTAAAATTCCATTGTTGTACAATGAGAAGTTGTAAAACTTGATAAAAGTATTGTGATATTTTTACTGTGAAACCAATGGGAACCAGTTAGCATCAACCTCTAAAACATTTTCATTGCTTGCGACTGACTGCGATATTTATAGACATATGTCAACATCACTACTCATATCATGACATCCTGCCTAACTCCTCTTTACACTTTAATAAGGTTGTGCTTTGGGAATATAATGCAACAGTTACGACACAGTTAACTTACTATATAACAAAACAGTAAGTTTTTATACAATTAAGAATTCATTAGTTTTATGTATATCATAGATGGTATGAGATAAAATAAACTATAAACTTGCGCTCATTAAGTTGGACAAATGTAAAGGACATTTTTTGACATATTAAAAGTAATTTGCTGTATAATTAATTATGTAAAGGTTGTATGTCTTGGAGTTAAAGAGGCAACAACAGCAGCAACAATCCCCCCACCCCCTAAAGAAAAAAAAAAGAGTGCAAACAGAGGGTGGCCAAAAGAAGGAAGTTACCATTTCTGTGGTTATATTGACATGAAGTCAGCTCCTGTTTCAAACAAACTACAGACACGCACACAGTATGCAAAAGGGCTCTTGACACCGAGACATGTAGCTCATTTCAATAACCTACACTAACTTTAGACCCAGAAAATTGCATATTTGTGTGCGTGGATGCTTACTGACTTTGTCAAAACTTGGAGTTACCACTCCGGTGGGATGAAGGATAGACAGAGTTTCTAACGTTTTGCTGGGACTCCTAAAAACAGGCAGCAGCCACATCTTTGACTACAAGGTAAGTCTCCATGGGAAGCTTAGGTTATATCATTGTGAGGTTGTTGCTTTGTTCTCTTTATTAATATACAAGCAAGGCACATTTTCAAAAGATTCTTCAAAAGAAAGTCATTTTTTGTTGTTATAATTAGTGCTAATCTGGTGTTTTGGGAAAATTTATTGCTGCTTTTATTCATTTTTGATAAACTGACCAAGCAATAGTAAGGTACTAAGTTCTCTAAGTTAGCTCTAAATAAAATTTTTATGAAATATGTTTATTCAAATGATACCAACCCTTGCTGTAAGTCACTGGCAATTTTACAACAGAACTGAGTACTGAGCTTTGAATGTTTCTATTAAGAATTTGAACTCATATAGAGTTGTATATTTCAATATTTCGAAAATGTTAATGTAAATTTATTAGATTTTCTTTTTTAATTTTCAAACAAACTACAAGGGGACGGTGATAAGAGAACCTTCAAAAGTAAAAAACGTCTTTACTTTTGAAATGATAAGATGCGTCAGCATCATGGTTTCATGAACAGAAGTGATTCTGCTTGTGAAAAAATACAAAAACTAAATAGACTGCAGAAAGTCCAACTTGAAAAAACAGAAGGGATCAGAGTGAGATTAAAGACGTAAATTAGGTTAACCTATAACTTATATATGGAACATATATAGGTTAACTATAACCTACATGTAACCAACGAGTGGAAGTTGGGCATCCAGTGGTGTAAAATAGTGAGCGCTATAACTTCTTATATTACTTCTTACATTACCATGCCTGCTTCCTAGTTTACCAACATTTTTAGGTTATAAAAAGTCAACACTGACTCACACATTATCCCCTTTTCTTCCCTCTCATTATAGCACTTCCCATTTAATTAATTGTTACACCAACTTCCTTTTTGTCTCTAACAATGGATTTTGGTGAAATCTTCTCTTTTTAGAATGAATTCCACCATGACCCCGGAGCAACTGTCTACCTCCATGATTACTCAGAACATCACACCAACCACTGAATCTGAGAATGGATCCTCAGATTTTCACATTACCCTCCTGGTCATCTACTCAGTAGTTCTGCTGTGCGGTACTGTCAGCCTGAGCTTGATGATGCACATCTTGAAGTCCAGTGCTGCTTCTGCCACCTCTATTACCGTGTTTAACCTAATTTTTGCCCACTTCATCTTCCTTCTGACAGTGCCCTTCAGAATTCACTATTATGTAACCAACGAGTGGAAGTTGGGCATCCAGTGGTGTAAAATGGTGAGCGCTATGATCCACATCCACATGTACATGTCTTTTTTGCTCTACATGATCATCCTTGTCACTCGCTTGTGGCCACACTACTCCAGGACAAGGCAGGTGGAATCTTTAGGCAGAATGCAAGCACTCGTTGGCAGTGTAGTGATGTGGGTCATTGTGCTCATTTTAATCCCTTCCATTATTTTTAATTTTTATGGCAAGACAGATCAACAAGATTCTGCTCATTGCTTTCATTTTGCAGAAAGCATGAATTCTAACAAAGTGCTGAACTACATATTAAGCACACTGGTGATAGTGGTAGCTGTCGTGTTGACAGCCCTTCAGGCCAATGTGCTGTGGACTCTATACAAAAAGGATCGCCAGGAATGCAGGTCTCAGCAAGACTTTGGGGCTCAACTGAAGAGCCTCTGCTTCACACTGATCATGCTAATCTGCTTCGTTCCCTACCATAGTTTCCGGCTGTATTACATTGAGCAGCCTGAGCTTGAACCTATCAATGAAGTTTTACTGAGCCTGACCACTTTCAACTGTTTGGACATGCTGACCTTCTTGGGGAGGAGGACATTCCACATATGCTTAAGAGGAAGGACTGTGTGAACACAGAATCTACAATAACTGTGAATGTGCATACAGGAGACAAACTGATATAAGATGTTGGCATTTGTTTCTTTTTTTTTTCTATTTCTTGTCAATCTACATGACTATTGAATTTATTTTAAATCAAATTAAGATCCTTTTGCTCGCTTCATTATCTAACCAATATTATTTTGGCTGATGTTTATTACTATTATTGCAGAAATGCTTGGTTGTTGAATAAAGAAAAAAAAAAGTTTTTGCCAGAGAGTATGAACTCAGGTCCAGTTTTGACATTGTATTTATGAATAGCAGAAATGTATATGTTGCAATGTAATAAATGCAGTCTGAAAACTACTTTGAACTTGACTCTAACTAAATGAACTCCTGCCATCTGCTGGTCTTTATTTGTACTACACATTGGGACTATGACAGGATCCTAGACCACTGAAGCTGATAAACAAACAAAACAGATCCTTATTCAAAATAATATCATAATACAAAATTTTAAGTTCGATCAAGAAATGTATTTCTTTCCAACAGTTTTCTAAACAAAAGTTTCTTGAATTATACTGTATCTTTGTGCACTTTCTGTGTCACAGGGTCTGTGTCACCCACACATCAATACGCACATTCACCGAGTGATGTTTCTCTTCTCTATTTTTTATGGACCTGGGTTACTGTTTAACATCTCCACCCTAGCTTAAGTTTGTTTAGTAAATCGATCTTATGACAGGGCTATGATGGCGCCATCCAATGTGTCGCTCCATGAATTATTGGCAGCTCAGCTCTCCAGCCTTCCCTTTTAATGTTTTCCAACACTTTAAATTGTTTTAAAACTCAGTGCTCCATCAGTCCGATGGCCGACTGACGGCTGCTCCCTGTCAGAGTAGAGCAATACTACTGGATAAATGACAGAAACGGTAACGCATGTAAGTCAAACTTTTTCTGTTTTGTATTTGTTTTGTTTAAATTGGGAATATAGTAAATACATAAACTGTTAAGTCTTACATACCAAACGTTACCAGAATCCTTTAGTTTTGGTTGCAGTAAGTTCCTCAAATCGTGCAGTTTCCTAATTTAAAAAAAAAAAGAAGAAATGGTTTGAGATGGTTCATTCGAACTAAGTAGAAGTGCTGTTTTAAAGTATCTCATGTAACGCGAACTTGCGAAAGGAGATAAGAGAGACTCACTTCAGCATGAAAGCTGTGCTATAAAGATCATGTGATAACTCATTTTACCAGAACAAGTCAAGGACATAAACAGGAGCTAGATATTTCTCTCTTTGCTCTTGTTTTACCTTCTCGCATTTATCAGGGACTTGAGTACAATCAAAACCAATGAGGATTAATTACCAGAGAAATAATTTTATTTCTATTGCTCCTATAATTTACCTTTTCTACATCCAGATAACACTACTTTTAATTATGTGTCCTCTTTGTATTGTTTTAAATGTTTCCAAAGACGACTAGATTGTTGTTTGTTAACCTTTGAGGTTATAGTATGTGATACGATGTTGGACCCTGGCTGTTTCAAATATGGATGTTAATTTCCATGTGTTGTTCTAACCTCATATTTTACTTAAAAATCTTTACAAGGATATTCACAATTTCACAGTCAATTTATGTAGATTAAAATTAGTTCTGAATTTAAAAGCAAGAATGAAGCAAAGGTATAGTTAATCATCTTAAGATTTGGAGGCAATTACTTTTCTGAAGAACCTTCAACTATGACTTTTGTTTCAGGAAGTTGTGGTTTTTTTGCAACAGTGCCTGGCTGATCATTATGTGTGTCTTAAGCTGTTAGTTTAAGTACAAGCACTGGTATTATGGCAATTTCTCACAGACATTGCCTCCTCACTAGGGGTTTTATGACAGCTGAGAGCTTTTGGTTGATAGGTGGAAGCAATGTATCTTATTTAGTCTGCAGCAGGTCTTACTAGCTGAAATTAGATGTTTACATACTGTAAAGAAAAGTCACATTCACGGTTTGATATTAAATCAGACAAGACGTCTCCTGTATCAGTTTAGTGAGAAATATTACATATATTTCTATGTGCTCAATGTCATAACAGTGAAATAGATTTGAAACTTTTTAAAACTGTATCCCACCACACATAATGTGTCTCCAAAGTAAATTTGCATCTGCGCACATTTTGCACCAAATCCTATGTATCACTTCAGCACAGAATACCTCTTCTTCCATAAAATGGTCTGTTGAGACTCCTAAGGTATTATTTATATGTAATTATTTGAACAGATAAACGTGACATCTGTGTTTGGACCCAAAGGCAGATGAGATTTGCTGATGTTAACAATTCTCTTTTGTCCTTTGATTTTTCCATGATGTCACACAGAGAAGTAGTGTGTTTCAGCTGCAGTCTTACAGAAATATTTACAGGTATGCATCCATTAAAATCAAATGTGAATTAGAAGAGAACAACATTAACATTTGGGCTCTTTCAAATTGTGATAAAGACATTATAGTCTAAGTCTATTTAAACTTATGAATTCTGAAATTGCAGAAAATAATTAATGTGTTCTGTTCAGTACTTCATAAATAGAAATAACCTAGATCATTACAGGATAGATTTAAAACATGATTAGTCTGTTGGAACCCACTCTTTGCAAACTTGATGAGTCAGGAGGCCGAGTTAAATTATAATCTAGTCATACTCCCTACCTAGAGCTTCCTGTCTAATCAGCCCATCTTTTAACCCTTTTATTTAATCCTCCAATTTGCAGTACATGATAAAAATACTAATACAACTTAATTGTTTGCATAGTTTTTGCAGGGCTACTTCTAACACCTCTCATCATTCTATTTTGATATAAGACACACAGTACTTTATTCCTGTGATGTGGAAACTTAAAGATTCATAAATGAAAAACCTGTATAGTGCTGTGAAGGTTCATAATACATCCCCCCAATATGTTGTACAATCACCATTTGCTGCAATTATACACATAAATTGTTTGAGGTATGTCCTGACAAACTTTTTACAAATTTGTCTAGTTGTTGTTTTTAACATGGATCATACTCAGCCAGATTGGATACATGTAATCTGTGAATATAGATATTCAAGTCTTGCTGTGGATTCTCAATTGGAAATAACATGATTTTAGACTGAACAAATCTAATGTAAATATACTTAGAGATGAATAGACCCACTGTATCTCTGGTTCTATGATCATCCTGCTCTGGAGAGGATCCCCCATACTGTTTTTTTTTTTTCTTTTTCAGTGTTACCCAGTGTCTCCCATCAACTCTGACCTGTTTCCCTGTTCTCCCTATTTGCAGAAAAAGGGAAACAGCATCCTCACAGCATTTTTATGTAATCCAAGAACTTCTGTTACACTCTCATCTAAGCAGAGCACATTTCTCAATGTATTTTATGTGTTTCTTAACAAGAATGTTAAGGGACACATAATTATTATTTTTCTTTAGAACCCCAGCTTAATTTTTTACACTCATGCATTTGTCTAAATGTAGAACACCTTTAAAAGCCATGCTCCTTTATTTCCACTTCAAGAGTATCTGTCATTTTGTGTGTCATCATAAAATTCATAAACGTTTCTGGTTTTAATGTAAGAAAATGGAAAAAGGTTCCAGGAGAGAAAATACTATTAGCAAAAAAAGTAACTAATATGTATTACAAAGCAATTTGTGATAATATGCATTCTGATGTGGTTCCTTACTCTGACATTATATTGCCCTCCTCCTTGCTGAAACACTCCTTTCATTTTTTTCTGACTGACCAACTCATTACAGAAGTAGAGCATCAAGTCATCCATATCATCATCTTATCTTTTACAGTCTTCTTTGTCACAATGCCCTAAACTGATTGCCTCTAAAACACACAGTAAGAGTTAGTGCAATGAAACCCTTCATGTAAAATGGGTGGGTGAGACTATTGAACTGGTTTATATCATGGGAGCTATGCAGTGTGTTTATTGTGCCTCTGCCCTAAAAGATGAACCTGAGAGGACAGTCATTCTACTCATGATTTAAACTTTTGAATTTGTTCTTGATTAAGTTTGGTGAAGTGTGTGGGAAGTGCATCAGTGACAAAATAGCCAGGAGCCTGTTTTCTTTTTCCTTTGTTTTTTTTTTTTTTTTTTTTTTTTTTGCTCATCTCAGATTACAGTTTGAGTGCAAGACAAAACCACAAGTAAAATCAAGTTTTAAGTAAATGCAGGAAAGAAATTCTTCTTACCAAATTCTAATGAAAACACTCAAGTGTAAATCTCAGGTGTATGTGGATGTGTGTTTTTGTCTTTGAATTAAGGGAAGTTATCAGTGTCCTCCACTTTTTATAGACTATATCTACTGAGGTGATAATGCTGTTGTACCATTATTGATTAGATTATAAATCCCTGGAACACGCATACACAAACACACATCTCTACATGCACACACACACAAACTCTAACTATCTTCAAAGGGACTTTACATTGACTTCCAATCATTTGTTATTAATTTATATTGCAGAGCCCTGGTGCTTACACTAAACCCAATCATTACTGTCACTATGACATGACTCAATTCACACCATAGCCCAAAAACAGAACCTCTTTTTATGGGAACTGGGCTTTGGGGCCCATAATGCAGTATTTGTAAGAAAAATAGCCCTTACATTGTATCAAAAATAAGGCTATTCACATACATACACACACAAATGAAGAATTAGCAGACAATATTCGCATTATGCATACTTTGATTCATAACGACAAAAAGTCAAAGACTGGACAGGACAAGGAAATTTCTCCTTTACAACTATCCATTTATATCTGTGATAAGTGTGTAAGTGGAGAATAGATAAGTAAGGTGTAATAAGGTGAGAAGTCTTAGCTCTAGCTCCACCTTTTTTTGTGTTCATTGCCCAATCAAATCACATTATAGACCTGTTAAGTGAGGGATCTCCCCTGTTGAATATGTGGGAGTTAGCTGAAACAGTGACAAGAAAACAGAAGGAAAGACAAATTGTGAGAAGATAAGGAGACAGAAAAAAAGAGAGAAAAAGGCAGCTCAGCTTGAAGCAGGAATGAAGTATCCTCCAGCTCCTCAGAGTAAATCTCTGTTAGATATGGAGGTAGCCAACTACTGTGAAGGCCTGGATCCATCATTCAGCACACTAGGGTTTGAGAATGCAGAGGTTCTCTATGCAGGAGGTAAGTGAGTTTTCATGTAGACGCTTAAATACAGAGGCACATACATGCTGAGAATCCCATAAATGTTAAACTTGAGAATCCCATAAATGTTAAACTTGGTTTTGAAACATTGTGATAGCATATACACATAGCACAGCTATACACGAATTTCTATTCACTGGTAATGACACTACTGAGGGGCATGACTTCTCACTGATACAGTGTCACGGAGCATGATAGATAGGGGTTTGCTGCATAAGAGGTCATCATGTTCAGAACCGGATGAGAAAATATTATTCACAAAGACATTTAATAACAGAGAAGCTAGATAAGTTAATGTCAATGAGTTAGTCTATTATTTTGCTAATTAAGCAAAACAAGAATATATGTATATATTTGAATTTTATTAAAATTCAAAGTTTTTAATGTCTTACCACCGCCTTATTGTTGAGCTTACTTCTTGAAATATTTTGTTGTCTTTACATGTCTCCTGCCTTAGCAAATTTGTGACATTAGACAATTGGATAATTTTATTAATGTTACATGTCATGTGTTCATTCACAAACTTATTGGCTCAAATATTTTTAAATGTATTTTTGCAAACTACAAAGACTGCTTACATGGCAAGAAACTCATGCAGACTTGTTGGTCTAATATCCATATTAGGGTTAATTTGATTTGAGCAAACATATGGCATCACGCAGCACTGCACCCAAGTTAATCAAATACTCCCAAGCTACATTATTTTAAGTTGGGCGTAAGGTGTCGGGCATATTCAGCGTAGTGTTGCCCTGAACGAGTCACCTGGCAACACCTAAACAATAGAGGGAATTTTATAGTAGAGCGCAACGCCCATTGCTATCTCTGTGAAAACCAACAAACGCAGCCTAAGTTTCTTTCTGTATCTCTTTTTGTGCTTTTCTGTCACACGGTAAAAAAAAAGAATATATTTCCACAGAAACTGAAGGTCTCGCATGTAGAGCTCTTTTGTCGCTGATATTTAGTGAAATAAAGTTTGTTGAAGACACGGGTCATAAACATGGTTTGCTGAAGAGTAGGAACACTCCTCTGTGATGTCACCTTAGTTTTTGAGCTGAGTTAGTCAAACATTAACTCAAACATTGTTAAGAGATCATGGAGTACAACTGAGTGAGATATGAATGGAGCTCTAAAGATTTGTGTCTTGATGCTCATCAAAGTTTCCCACTTTAAATAACTTAGTATCTTGGAACTAAATAATAAGCAGTAAAGGAATGTTTAATGTGCAAGGAATAAGCATAATAATAATTACAGCATCAGCTACCATAACAAATACTGAAAAATAATGCTGCTTGAACTTGTGCTATTTTGTTAAGCACTTCAGCAAAGAATTTATTTAACATGGCAACATAATCATAACCCTAACCCTAAATCCTATGAATTAGTTCACACTTTGGTTTCATATACAGACTAATCAAATCACAGAATACGAACCAATATACAATGTTTTTTTATTCTTGATTTGTTTGTAATTTACAGATGTGTGTAAAGCATGAGTAAAAATATGCCTGTATGTTGTGCTTTGCAGACAGTATGCCAACAGAACCAAGCCACTCTGGTCCAGATGGACTGAACGCTAACTGCGCAATCTGTGGAGATAAAGCCACAGGAAAACACTATGGGGCTTCAAGCTGCGACGGCTGCAAAGGCTTCTTTAGACGCTCCATTCGCAAAAGCCATGTGTACACCTGCCGGTAAAGACAACCAAGGCATACGCTATAGGCACATGTTTGAACAAATACACAAAATATGTAAAGACAAAATCTGAAGGATTAATATGTATTTTTTGGTCAAGGCATATTGACTTGGCACCTTTCATAAAACATGGGATGTTACGGTGAATTAAATGCTGTTCTGTAGAGTCAGGCCATATTGTTGTTTATCATGTACAGGTTCAGCAGACAGTGTGTGGTTGACAAGGATAAGAGGAACCAATGTCGTTTCTGCAGACTCAACAAATGCTTTAGAGCTGGCATGAAAAAAGAAGGTAAGATGACAAAAGTAACACATGTTTGTAGCTTTTCACATATATTATACAGCATTATCGTAGAAAATATCCACATTTGGCTCAAAGAACAAGGTCATAACTACAGCCACTGCGGGAAAAAATTGTTTTCTTGAAATCTCAAAGCTTCATGAAGATAATCAAAATTGGCTTAGCCATAAAACACGGAAAGACTTTGTGTGTGTATTTATGAGGGGTATAACCTTGGTGCAGAATTTTATGACACCTAATCCTGTGATACTGAAACATGTTGTTCTGTACTGCAACTGGTTAACGTTTGACCTCCTATTGCTGATCCCAGCATCTTCAGTGACTTTCCTAAATATTAACTGCAGTGACAGTTATTATTTTTTTTAACACCCCACCTTAGTTTTTACACTAATGAATTAGTCCAAGTCAAAATGTAGAAATCACTACAATAACGTTTGTATGCAGGGAAGTAAAAACATCTATTGAATTGCCTGGTATTATTATCTGTTGTTCCCTTTGGTTTTCCTTTTGGTTTACTTCTTGTTCATAGACATGCACTCAATAACCTCGGCTGTTATATTTTAGCTGTACAGAATGAGAGAGATCGGATCAGTTCCCGAAGAATCATCCCAGATTCTCAAGACCTTCCACCCATTACTGTCTTAGCACAGGCAGAGTCCTTATCCCAACAAGTAAGAATGTCCTGCTTATTTTATAATTCCTGGAATAAAGGTCTGCAATGCATTGGCAAAATATTTTTTGATTCTGTCATGTTGCATCCACAAACTTCAGTGCATTTTATTGACATTTTACTTGACAAACACAAAATACTTCTAAATTGCTAAGTGTAGGAAAAGAAGACATTTCTTATATTATGCTTTTACAAAGTAGCATAAAATGTATGACGTAAATTATACAAGTAATGTATAATTCTTTGCTGAAGTTATAGCCGCCATCAATTCTTGGCTTAGACTCTAAATTGGATTCACTTCTTGACTTTAATTGGAATGATCTGAACTTTGCTGCTGCTCTAGCTTTATTATGTCCAACTCACTGTACTCCAGTCTCAACCCTTTTGTAATTTCAAACAGGTTTCCTTGCAAAATTGACAGTTATTAATCTTCATTCATATTCCTATAAACTCTGGAAGCCTATTTTTTTTTTTTTATTAATACACCATCATGTGTGGTAAGACCTTACTATTTTTTCCCCCTGCAGATCATCACTCCTGTAGGACTAGTGGACGTATCGGATGTGAAATCAGCCACTGTAGTGGATGTGTGTGATTCTATGCGGCAACAACTGTTGGTTTTGGTGGAATGGGCCAAATATATTCCTTCCTTTGGCGAGTTGCCACTGGATGATCAGGTAACAAGTCATATAAGTGAGCTTAATTTGTATATAGCTTGTCCTAAGTCATATCTATGCAGTGATCTTATGTTGTTTAATACTGAAGTGAAAGCAAGAGTAGAACCCCTAATATTCATCAGATATGCTGGTATTTTTCTATTAAACTTATTTCACTTGTGTGAAAAAATAAATAGATTGAATTTGCAAAATGTTGCAGAGCATCAGCATTTTTACAATGATTATGTGGTATGTTATCTCTAACCCATTTCTGTAGCTTATGACAATGTACGGCACCATACAACTAAGGAAAAGAGAATAACCACTGCTCTGCTTTTTAATTTTGTCTGTGTGTGTGTGTGTTTCCAGGTGAGCTTGCTCAGGGCTCATGCAGGTGAACATCTCTTGCTTGGGGTTGCCAAAAGGTCAATGCCATTCAAGGACTTCCTCCTTTTAGGTAGGAAATGACGATATATTTTTCTCACTGTTTGGTTGGGAATGTGTGTCTCAGCACAAATATGTATGAGGCCTGGAAATGATTAACTAAAGCGTTCTGATTTTGAATGTAACCTCAAGGTTGTCCTTTGTAAGAGAAAAAAATATATATATCATTAATTACTTAGAAAATAGGATACTGTACACACAGTTGTCATCTACAAACACTTACACATATTTATGCATCACCATACTGCTTGGACCTTACAAATGACCATTTAGCTTTGATGCAACAATTTAAATAGGACCTCTCAAGCAATAACAAACCGTACACACTAGAGCCCAACCCATACCTGCTCAAATACCTTTCTACCCCAGTCAACTCTTCTCCACTAACTTTGTCAACTGTTTCTGCAGGTAATGGCTGTGTGATACACAGGAACGGCCCTGAACCTGAGATTTGCAGAGTTGCCAGCAGAATATTAGACGAGCTGGTCCAGCCTTTCCAAGATATTCAGATAGACGACAATGAGTATGCAGCTCTCAAGGCAATTGTCTTTTTTGACCCAGGTAATAACTAAATGTTACATGCATTATCTCATAGCAACTGATTTGTAAGCTTATGGCACATATTTTTTAGATACTTAAGTATTTGGTGAATATGGCTGCAGATAATCCATTTATCTAAAAAAAAAAAAAGAAAAAAGACATACATCTTGGACTTCAGAGACTCTTTTAATTCAACAAAATTATTCAAGTAGGACTTCCCAAGGTGGAATATGCATTTGATAAATCTGTACTAATTTGAAAGTCTTTAATCAATAATTGAGCAACACTTCACTTCAGTTCAGTTGTTATTTCCCTTTTTGGTTAATATAAAGAACAGTTCTATGTCAGATGTTGTAACCTTGGGAGACTATTTTATAACCAATCAGGGGTTCATTTGTTTCATAACTTTATTCCTAACCTGTCTGATGTTCCTTAGTCTTCATTGAATTGTTCACACGCTAATGTCTTCTGATAAATTACCATGGCCTTCACAGAAAAGCAGTGAATAAATTATGTTACTAAATAAATGTACTCTAGATGGAAGTTAAAGCAATCCTCTTAATTGAAGGATTGTGAATTCTTACAGATGCAAATCACTCTTTTCATATTTTAATTAGCAAATAATAATAATAATAATAATTCATATATTATTGTACTTACACTTCATAATTATGTACATTTGTGTTCATTCATTCCTTAAACCCCAATGAAATGTACTAAAGTTTGTGTTTATGATGTAACCAAATGTTGGAGAGGACACTTGATTTTCTCTACTGATTGTGCCAATAGATGTCACTATTACATTATCTTTACAGAAAAAAAAAAATCATATGTTGGCTGTTAATAATATATATTTTTAAATCCCACAAACAACTGGACATGAAAAGAAATACTACCTTTTAATAGAAAGACGAAGTAGTGTTTTCTTTATAATTTAATAAAATGTACAATGACAAAACAATGATAACAAATAGTAACATAATGAATGATGGATTTTATTGATGGTGTGACTACATTGATAGAAACAAGAAAAAAAATACATTTTATTTAATCATAAATCTATTGTTATTTATGTTGCATGTTGACCCTCATAGTTAGATTCCAATCTCTCCAATCCCTACACACGAGCCCTATCACTGCCCCCATCATGCCTTTCTCCCTCTTTCTGTAAATCCCCACATTTTGCCTCCATACACCAGTTTAACGATAATCATTCCATCAGCTGTACTCATATCTTCAATTTCATCCCTGGCCTTTTTTTTTTTTTTTTCTTTCCTGTCCTTCAATCATGTCCTCCCCATGTCCTCCTCTATTTACCTGTCTCTTCAATGCTTTGCTTTGCAATCTGCAGATGCAAAGTCGTTGCGGGACCCAACGAAAATTAAGACTATGCGTCTTCAGGTAGGGCTGCTATTTAATCTTTGAAATGACTAAGTCTGTAGTTAATTATGTTACATTTATTATTATTACTATTATTATTATTAGTTTAGCAATTCTAACTTGTATTTGAAGGGCAATAGACATTTACTGTCATTAGCCACGTCCCTTTACATAGATAAATATTTTCTTCGGATTTCAAACTTAAATTTGGACTTTTCGTCACAGTGGTGAGTGTTTGTGCGTGTATGCGTGTGTTCACAGGTTCAGATGAGTCTGGAAGACTACATAAACGACCGTCAGTACGACTCCAGGGGTCGTTTTGGAGAGCTCTTACTGCTGCTTCCCACCCTGCAGAGCATCACGTGGCAAATGATTGAACAGCTCCAGTTCATTAAGCTATGCGGCCTGGCCAAGATAGACAACCTGCTTCAGGAGATGCTGCTGGGAGGTAGGCCTGGGATAGTGTTTGCGTTTGTAATTCTGTAAACGAATAGGTGACCTTCAGCAAAGCGACTACTGGTACTGCAGAGAGGTGAATATGGGGAGCCACATGAGGGATTCTGGAATCAGGGAAAAGTATATACTGCTCAGCAAAGTTCTTTAGGACATATAAATAGATGCAACTAAAAAATAAAAAAACAAAAAAAAACAACAACAACAACAAAAAACCCCACTGTACCGATGAACAGTGTAACTTTGCATAGCTCTCATGTATAATAGGCAAAACAGAAATAGACCAACTTTGCCGCACAATGTGATGCGAGGGACATTTGCGCACACATCTAGATGTGTATAAATATTAAGCTAGAAAGCATCAGCTATATTTTAAGGAGGGCTATGTCACATAGTTCAAACATAATATAGGGTCTGATGTAAAAAGTCATCTGAAAACATGCCCCGCAGCTTTCACCACTCAAGGAAAAATAAACCCTCATGGATGTGAAAACTTGACTTAGATGACAGTGTACAGAAAGAGCTGCATTTTTCTTGTCAGAATGTGGAATGAGTTCCTACAAAAACTGCAACAACAACAGCAGCAAACTTTCTCCTATTCTAAAATTTTTGGAATAATATATTTAGGAACCCAAAAATGAAGGTCTTAATAGTGTTTTTACCTTCAAAAATGTATTAAATAAGTAATGAACAAACATGTACTTTATATATTAGAATTATATTTACATTGCCTTGCAAAAGTACCCAAACTCTTTGATCATTGTCACATTTTGTCATATTAAAATAATAATAATAAAAAACAAAGCTTCAAAATAAAATATCAAAACAAAGTGGTGAATTTGTAAGTCCTTTTTTAAAATGTATTTATTTTTTTTTTATGAATTGCATTTATTTCCATATAATCAATTAAATCAACTTGGTGTATGTCTCTGCTAACTTTGAACACCTAGAGAAAGGAATAGATTTTTAAGTCTTGCCACAGATTATTATTTTGGATTAAGATCTAAACTGTGAGAAATACAGACATATTCTCTGTTCAAACCACTATATGTATGTCTAGTTAGATCACTGTTCTGCTGCAAAGTGAACCCCTCATCCAGACTTAAGACTTTTTCAGCCCCTAACAGTGTTTTCGTCTGATGTTTATCTCCATCCACTGACCAACATCACATTACCTGCTTTAAAAGAAAGAAAAAATACATTTTTATTGGACAGATTGTGAGATGAGGAAGCATCAGCTCAGGTGACTGGGCATGTCTTGCTAGGTTATGATTACAAGCTGTTCACTAACATTCTCTAACATTCCTTTCAGACGTTCATAGAAAAGCTGCATTTATATTCACAGCCAGGGATAATATTTCATTGAGAGTGTATTGAAGTACGGTGGGCCGCATTGAAATGAACATCACATTTCTTAGATTTTTGTTAATAAAAATATTTTTTTCTTTTTAATCCAACTTCATATATTCCACATGCACTACTTTGTGGCGTCTATAACATCACTGAAATACATTCAGATTTAGAGTTGCAACATAACCAAAAGGTTAAATTTTAAAGGATATAAATACTGTACTTTTGCGAGGCATGGCAATCAATTCCTGAAAAGACAAATAGATTTCCAAATTTTGATGCTGACAAAACATTTTATTCTGAAATGCAGTGACTTGAATAGTGAGGTTAACAGAGTGGATTATTCAGCAAACTGTTTTCACAAGCTGCTTACAGATTAAACAAACCTATAATAATTCCTAATTTATTTTTGTTAGATAACTGCACCTCTTCAGTTGCTTTGTGTTGTATGTTCAGGTCTAACAACAGAGTCCAGCCACCTTCACCATGCGGCACACACCCAGTTGGCCCAGGACCATGTGACTGGACACACCCTTGTCATCAGTGCCATGCCTGCTACTCACATTCCACAAATAGGTAAGACAAATATCCCCAAAAACAAACACTAAGCATACTGAAGACAAACCCATATCAAAATTACTAAATGTTTGAACATGTTTTCTGCTCATTCTGCAGCTTCACCTGAGACTCCCATCCCATCGCCACCACAGGGTCCCGCCACAGAAATGTACAAACATTTCCCTCAGCCTCATCGTCCTCCCGCCAGCCCCTCATCTTCTACACAGACAGACCCCTGACTCCTTCCTTTTGTCATGATTTTATGACAAAGAGTCTGTCACGAAATCAGTTTTCTTTTTCTTGGATGCATAGTTTATTGTACTGATGTGAATGTTAGGAAGGCACTCCTTATTCAGTATGTGTCTTAAAGACTTCCCACTGCCTGTTCCCCCGCCCAGTGTTACAGCAACAATGATCTCAGAATAATTGCCTGCCTTTCAAAGGTAAGCTTTTATTCAAATTTAAACCCTCACAAGTCTACATTTTTCAACAAGAGACCAGACACAGGGGCTTCAGCTGTAATGATCAGAGGACGCAGAGCAATTTAGGGGCTCAATTAGAATCCAGCTGGTGTTCCACCCAGCTCTGACCATTCAGATCAGTCCAATAGTCATCCCACAGTGGTAGGAATGATGTGTGTGAGTAACTTCATTAGCAGTAACTTCATCAATTGAACTGCCTTACATGAGAAGATGCTGTCATCTGATAAAATGCTATGTATATATTTTGAGAAACTATTGTTCATGGTTTCCAGGCTTAAAAAACACATTTTCTGAATATTTTTTTTTGGGTAATGCTGATTTGTCTGAATGAAGTAGAATAGAAAATGAAAAGAACAATTCTGAGTGTGAGACATGTTAATGAGGTATACCTCATTAACATGCAGCTAAACCTCTGTTTAGCTGCTTTTGAATTACTCCTGTATTTGCTCATCAGCTGTCCATCTAACTCATACATCTAAAAACCAAAAATAAGAAAGCACACAAGTCTTTGAGCTTTCGAGTTTACAGAAATTATTTAAGTGAAAGAGAAGAACAGCCAAATTGTTTCAATGTACACAACCATGTTCTGAGGAAAGGAATTGTTGTTATTTTATTTTGTAAACTTTAGATTGTCACAATCCAACCTTTTTGTCACATACTAATATGAGGTTGTGCCCATTTTATATTTTTCTCCTATTTAGAGTTTCTTCCAATGTAAAATAAACTGAGGTAGCTATAAGTTCAACAAATTAGCGCATCCATCTTTACAGTTGTTGCTGGGTTAGTCTTGGTTTTGATTTGTTTGTCTAAATGTTTAAATGCCTCATGAGGATTTTACTGTGTGGTTTATCATACATAAAAAAATAAAAAAATAAAAAAATAAATAAAATAAAAACTGCTGTTCAGTTGTATATATATACACAACTGAACAGCATGTATCACAACATTGAAATCTAACATGTGAGACCTTCTCCCAGACCAAATTATCTAAATAGATAAACAAAACAATCTTGTAGATGTATTTTTTAGGATCTGACCAAAAAGAGCGCCTGAGAGCTTAAAAAAAACCCTGTAAAACAATACACAAAGTTAAATTCTGTGGTTTCTTCTATTGAGGTTATGAGCCATGAACATATGTATCTTACAATGGCACACATATATTGCAGGTGTGCCTGTCTTTCACAGCTAATATTGTATATGAATTACCTGTATGAAACGTTTTCTTAACTTTTATGAGTTAGTGGTAAAGATTACAAAATATAAGAAATTTTAACAATCTATTCTTGAGTGCAAATATAAATTTGTTGTAATATTTAATGTGTGTAATACAAATTTTATATTTGAACATTTTCAGTTCCTTTGTCATTTTTGCAGTTGTATTTATTTTGTTTGCATTGTATAAATGATGTGTGCATTTTCAAAATTAAAAATTGATTACATCCCGCTTAAATGATCATTTGATTACCAGCAGAAATTGATATTGTATAACTATAGGCCAGACATTATGGCTGTTCCACACTGAGAGTCCAAGAAGATGTAAGTCATCTGATGGTTACAGTACACTTGGAATATTTTGGAGGTTTACATTAAGGGTGTGTAGGACAGAGCAAAACATTGTAGCATTTCCTGTTTCTCCACTTGTCAGTGGTCAGAATGTAGAGAAACTATGACAAACAAGACAAGATGGGGACCCATGTTTATCTTGGATGTATATAAAGACATACATAAACACACATACATATGTGTGTGTCCGTAAAGAAAAATTATACTATCATTCCTTTTCTAGTTGTTCCCCCTTTTTAAGGTTTTTGATATAAAAGAAAGAAAAACAAAACAAAAAACAATCACACCAGTATGATGACAAACTGGCAAAAAATATTTCAAAATCCTTCCCTCACATGCTGTAATATGCCATACGGTTTGTCTGTTAACTTCTCTCATGGAAGCCATCACAGTCCGTCATAGCTCCATTGGTTCTGGATATAGACTTTATATACAAAGCTTTATTGGTGTGCTGTTGAGACCTCACTGCCAGATGATGCTGTTTGTGTCAAATCAAACTGTAATTTTCTTCTGACCATCAGAGAAAACACACTTGGTGACAAGCACCAAAACCAAACTAGGACACAAAATGGTAATTGATGCAGGAATCGCCCGACAGTATGTTTAAAATCTTTGATTTTGTTTACATCTATCCCCACACAATCATTTCCTGTCATTTTCTTTGGATTTACGTTTATGTGCGAGGTTTTGCTTGCAGCGGAAGAGATCGAAGGATAAAGCTGAGGGCTCTTATGCTGTGTATATTGCTGTGTGAGTCACTGGTAAAAAATAAATAAATAAATAAAATAGATTTAAAAAAATCAGGGTATTTATGGCAGAGGATATGATGTTGTCTAGAATCAACATGGCCAAATCCTTCTATCAACTCCATAATGGACAAGCTACCTAGCTTAGGTCAAAACAACACCACCTACGACAGGGAGATGTGTGTAGGTGCATATACAGTACGTGTGCATGCTCCTACCTGCAATTTATTTATAATCTGAGCACCCGCGTGTGCGTACACTCACATGCGTGCATGTGGAAGTGTGTCCATGTGTGTGTACCCAGTGAGCTTTAATCAAAGGCCGATACTGAGGAGATGTGGGGGCCCTGTCTCTCTTCTTTCCCTCAGATAAAACTGAGTGTTAGCATGCCAGTCACATATCTCATCTGAGACGCGCCGCTCTCCTCCACACACCTCACCGCGGCCCACACTGACAGCATGCTATTACACACCAGTATGATGCTTGCTCCACCTGAGGAGGATGACAAGGGGGGTAGATAGAGGGATAAAGGAACAAAGGATGGACAGGAATATGAAATATCTTTTTATTTAATGTTGTTGTCCATAAGTGAGGTTTATGAACTGTGATCGCCCAGGTTTACATCTGGCTAAAAGGTGGAAATGGTATTGATTTAATTTTTCCATCTACAAACATTTTAAGACCCTTCTTCATCTTAGGATGAATCTAACTTGAACCCTTCTTGTTTAAAAAGTAAAAACAAGTAGAATCAACCTCTACTAGTAATACTATCGCTGACATTATCATTGAATTCTCACTTAGTGAAAATGGACACGTGTTTAGCATAGCTGATCCTTATATAATCTATTAAGACACAATATTCAGTTAGCAAAATGTGAGCTGAAAACCTTTTATTTCTTTCCTGAATGCATCCTATTTTAAAAAAAAATGTCTATCAAATTGTTTTTTTGTTTGCTCTCACACCACTAGATGGCAGTGTAAGTCTACGATAGCTTTAGAAAATGACACTAATGGCTTTTATCTCCTTTGTCAATCAGCTTTGACCCAATAAATAAATAAATATTCTTAAAAAACAACTAAGCTTGCATCATGTGTTTTACTGCAGTTGTTAAACAGTATAATGTACAACATAAAATAAAACTAACTAAACAATAAAAGGCAAAGGAAATGGTTGTCATTTAAATGACAATTTATTGATCAATTTAAAATAAAAGCATCATAATTGCTAGAAAGAAAAAAAAATCTAGAAATTGTTGGAAATGTTAACTCTGGGTTAATTTCATAAAAAAAAATATTTTAAAAGGACAGCAAAGCCAGTTGGTGCTGCACCAAACAGCACAACATTGAGACAGTCTGAAGTGAATGGCATGTGACAGCGACCCCAGATTACAGCCAGAGATCGCAGACTATCACTCCTTGCCACTGCATTTACCCATAATTCTCCCTATGTCTCCAACATATCCAATGATTCCTCCTCCAGGAGACAAGGTGAGATGGTATGAATCTCTGCCTCCAACTCTTGGAGTGAATTTCAAAACCTCTCCTGAGTGATTTTCTGTGTCTCTGTCCTGCGACTTCGTATGGCTTGAATCAATGTGTGGTTTCTGATTATACCACAGTCGGGCAAAGGAAGGAAAATACGGCGACAGCTTCATTTCCAAAGCTGAGTTCACATAAATGAGGGATTAAAGCAAGCGGCAGGGTTGAGGGTTCACTTCAGCCTTCAATGACAGCTTTCCCTCCTGAAAATCACTTTTTCCCCCCAGTCTTCCTCTGTCTCCAGTCACACCATTCTGTCTGTTTTCCTTTTTTGCAACCTTGTTCCATGTTTAAGTTGTCTTGCTTCCACTTATTTTACACGCAGAGATAATCCATATAGATAGGTAAAGGTAAAAACTGCTTACTAAACAGCTGGCTACGCACATGCATCCACAATAATTTACATAGATCCAGGGAACTAAGGTGAACTCTGCATTATGTTGATGGGGAGCAGGTTAGAGCAATGAAATTAGGGGTCAGGAGCATAGAGAGTGAGTTTGTGTGTGGGTGTGGGTGTCTTTACTGGGTTACATTAGGGAAATGAAAAGGGGTGGACCACTGATAGGTTCTGAGATGCAGACTTGTTAGAATAAAGGAATATGAAAAGGACATGAGACAGAGGAGATGACAGTATGGATGATAAGATGAGTCGAGCAGTAATAAAATGGTCCTGTGTACCCCAAGATTACACAGGGAATGAGATTGCAGAGCAAAAAGGGAGAAAGAAAGAAGGGTGGGGGATGTACTGTAGAAGAGGGGACGGGATTGCAGGGTTCTGAGGGGGAGTGAAAAAAAAAAAAAAGAGAAATATGGAGACTCATATATGATGAACCATGGTGAAAGTCAACTGGAACAGACATAGTGAGGTGGGAAAGGGTGGGAAAAAAATGGAAGAGAGGGGAGAGGGAAGAAGAGAAGAGGTATTACAACTCCGCACGATGCAGCCCCACTCTGAATGATAAGTGTCCCGCACACTCTGGGTTATGGGAAGTTCACACAAACAAATGACTCCCATTTGCCAGAGGCGAGGGACACAATTGAGAAAGAAGGGACGAGGGAGAAAAGGAGAGAATAGTGAAAGAGGCAGAGGACTGAATCCTAGAGCCATGATTTCAGATAGCTCCATCTGCATTGAGAGAATTCATACGTTTATGCTCATCTAATGTCTTCATTGGTTTGCTATAGACACTAAAGCACCTTCAATCCAAAGGACAGGATGAATCCTGGAGAGAAGCACAGCAGAAATTTTTGTTCGCTGTCTTAGAATGTAGGCGGCCCATGGACCTTGGTCAATAATAATAAATGCACTGCAAATTGTAGCATGTGGGTGGGCTATGTTTTGCACAATGAGAGGCCATATCAAACTGTAATAAAGGTGTAAGAATGCTGCCCTTATTTATACACAAAGAGGCATGGAATCAAAGTCGAGAAAGGTTGAAATGCCTTCGCTGCGGCTGCTTTAACTAAGCCTCTTCACATTTTCACTCATACAAAACAGGGAAATGTTTTTGCTTCTTACTTTTACTGTTTAAGTTACATCAAATGATGGCAAGCAGTGGTGAACTTATGAGACCGGCACTCGATAAAAACATGCTCACTCCCAATTTAGTACAAACTGGTCAAGTCCAGTGTGTAGGGGTGTTTTAAGTTTAAGGTCTCCCAAAAGTCTTAATTTTGTGGTGTGTGGGTTTTTTTGAGCTTGTATATTAATAGTATAATAGATGTTTCTCAAGAGAAAATCTCTGCCTTTATGTTGTGACCCTTTTTTTCTTCCACCTCAACAGGATTGGTCATGAAATGTCCACTTTTTTGCACACATTGTTTACATACATAGAACACCATGAAGCAAAATTAAAACTTATAACCTTCACCAGCTATGCTGCAAAATGTGTAATTTTAAGGCCTACATTTCCATAGACATTGCGTATTATGTGTAAAAATTTCCATACATTTGCAAATTGCAAATAGTTTCTTTCAGAATCTTTTGCCAATGAGAAATGCTGCATTTTGCATAAGAATTTCTTTAGTTTCCAGCGTAAAAAAAATCGAAATCTATTTTTATGTCATGGAACTGTGAATAAACTAATAAACTAAAAAAACAATCTGCATTTTCAAACAGGTGATATTTTAGTTTTTCTCTGAGAAATTCAAAGAGCGAGCATATAGACAACTGATATCCAGTCAGCGGTGTTGTGACAATGAGTTGGAAAATTACCATTGTTTTTTTATTTATTTATTTATTTTACATGTCTCGTTTGAACTCACCATTCCAGTTACTACTTTTAAATGCAATTACAGTTATAAGTGTAATGTTAAGAGTGGATTTTTAAAATGCCTTACCTTCTTTTGTACAGCACATTTTCTGAACACCCCTTTTGGCAAAGACCTCTATGCTCCAAAATGAAAGCAGAGTTTGAGGTTTCCCCACAATCACTAAAGTCTACTATCTGATAAACCTCAGTGGGCTGATCAAAAGCTTTGTTTTAGCTTTTTTCAATAGTAATAAGATACATTGTTCATTCTATACTGCACATAACTTCTTACTTGAAACAACATCAAGGTTGAATTGAGGTGAGTT